AAATTTTGCAGATATTGTTGGAAGAAAATGGCATCTAATTTTTTAATTTTCCTGTTTGATATGAGGCTGGGCATCTTCTAATATGTTTACTGGCTATTTGTATTTCATTTTCTGAGAACTTCTTGTTCATACTCTTTACCTAGTTCCCCATTATTGGTTTTATATTATAATAAATTACATTGTATTATTGTTACTTTATTTATATATTCTAGAAATGTTTAGTTTTATGTAGATCCAAATATACTTGTGGTGTTAAGATTCTTCTAAGGAGAAACACTGTACTGACAGGTACTTATGCTGCAAAGCATGCTGGGCATCTCAGAGCACCAACACCCAGCATGCAGCAAACCCAGCATAATTGAAGAGATGCTGTGGAATCACTTGAGGAATTTAAAGATAATTAGAAATCTTGGAAATGGCTTTTTTCAGTAACTTTTTAAGCCCTCCATTCCTCCACTTATCTTCCTCAAAAGGTAGAGTAGGCAGCAGCCAGGAAAAACTGCCTCTTTCCCCAAAAACAAAAGTTATTATTATAAAACCAGAGTTATCTGAACACAGATCCGTGCAGCAGTTCATCAGTGTCATCTCTGCTGCTGGCTTCCTCGTCCTCTTCCTCTGAGCACATTCCAGTGTCTTGTTTACATGTCAGAGGGAGCCTCTGACATGGCTCTGCATTGAATATTTATAACTGATTTTTCTAAAGGAAGCTGCATGTTATTTACCTGCCTATCTGGCTCTATTGTGCACTGAAGGACACAGTCTGCATATCTAATGATTGAAAGGCAAATGCTTTTTACCCGAGGACATTTTACAAAAGCTTAAACATGAAAATAAGTGTTAGCCTATGCTGATGCTTCAGCTACAAAGGCCCAACTAGAAACTCTCCAGCACAAACTCTAATTACAAATTAAGTATGTTCTTCATCTTATCCCTATTATCTCTTAATTTTATTCTCATAGAAGTCAGAAGTAACTCTGGGCATATTTTCCAGAGACAGTATCTCTGTTTTCTTAGTCTTGTCACTTAGGAAGAAGTGGAAGGAAAAGAAGTGGTATGGTAAAGATGGGCCAAAACCCAAAACAACCAAATTCACTGTCATCGAGTCAATTCTGACTCATAGAGATCTCCATTGCGTTTCCAAGGCTGTAAATCTTTACGGAAGCAGACTGTCTAATCTTTCTTCCATGGAACAGCTGGTGGGTTTGAACCACCAACCTTTTGGTTAGGAGCTAAGTGCCTTAACTACTACACCACCAGAGCTCCTTAACAATGGGCCTGATAACTGGAAATCTTAAAAACCAAAGAGTAAAACTGATTTTTTAAGGTTAAGTTTATCTAAATTTTACATTTTAATTGTGGAAAGAAAGAAATTTGAAAGAAAGATCCTATCAAATATGATTATAAGACAGTAAGGTCAGCTTACTATGGATTTTGTTTGTTTAACAAACACACCAAATCTTATCACAGCACAACAGCACTCTACTTCAAAGGAATTACCTTGGAAGAATGTATGACAATTCTAAGTATGTGGCAATTACTCAAAATATTTTTGAAACTCCTTTTGGAGTTGCTATTAGAGCCAGTTTACCCACAAGAAAATGGCTCATTACTTTATAATCACATCACATTTGGGGGCTCAAATCTGCGTTGCCTGGTTCCATCATCCCCTCATTCACCAGACCAAAAAAAAAAAAAAAAGAATCCATCTTCAAAAGATGGATATTTGTCAAGCATAAGGGGTCAAATGAATGATATGCCACTGGCTCTGGAGGCAGTTTGCCTTGGGACTAGTCAACACATTTTGGAAAATCACCAGAAATCATTTTGCAGGACCACCACTTGATTGGCAGCATAAACTCTAATAAATTTCTATTTTTTACTTTGTAGTTACACCCTACAAACAGCTCCATGTTCAAGGGAGGTACTTCCAGTTTTCTTCTACCATCACCGGACTCTCACATCTCAAGCCCAGAGTTTTTTCTCCTGGGTATTGTTAATGTGGTCATTTTTCTGTGTGCTCTGCTTCCTACATTTCAACCCTAGTCTCTGAACTCATAGCCACTGATAGGTTCACATTGTTCTCTCTCATACATCTCCCTGAGAATGATTTAACAAGCATTTGACCTTCTCTCTGCCTTAATCCTGCCTTGGCCAGTTCCCAAACAGAAGCTAGAAAAAGCAGAGGGAAAATAAAGCCAGAATTTGGATTGGCAGTTATAAGAAGGTGAAATTTGTAAGATCTGAATTCCTCCACAAGACCTTGTCCTGTTTGTCTGCTCAGAGGTATTCAAGGTTCCACAGCCTGGCTAACAGGAAATATTGTCAGTAGGAATTTGGTAGGCTTGGGTAACAAACACTATGCTCTGTAAATTAATATCACAATAAAGAATACAGCTGTAATGGGCTGATCTGGCGGGACCAGATTATTTGTCAATGTGGGAATCATTAGCATCTCCTTCATTATTAAATTGGAAAATAGTTTAGTTGGATTCCCCCAAGGGTCAGCTGCCAGATGCGAGCTCAGAGATGAAACTGTCATTCTCTTGCAATGATATTTCTTTAGGAATATAATATACAATTGGATAATGGATCTTTCAGAGAAAAGAAAAGCCATGTAAATTGCAAGAATTTGCCTAAGTTTCCACACCAAGTAAAATTTCCAAAGGATTTCACCCTTTCCCTCCCATGCTCTAAGTCTTCTTAATTTGATGAGGGGAGGAGGAGAAATTCCACAGCAACTGTGACCCAAAATTATGCTAGAGAGATTTACAGCTGTGTGGTTCCAAGGTCAAACAGGTGTACAGGTCAAGATAAATGAAACCGCCAAGCCTCTCCCAGCTTTGCTGAGTCAGTCAGAGTTAAAGACAGGCTGGTGGATTCTATGCCCATGTGAGGGTGATGTGAACCGCCCCCCCAAAAAAACCCACCCAAACCCACTGCCATGGGGACAATTACAACTTATATCCACCCTATAGGACAGAGTAGAACTGCCCCACAGAGTTCCCAAGGCAGTTAATCAGTTGATCTTTATGGAAGCAGACTGCCATGTCTTTCTCCCATGAAGCAGCTGGGTTCAAACTGCCTGTCTTTCACATAGCAGCCAAGCGCTTACCCACTGTACCCACAGGGCACCAATGTCAAACCAAATTTGGTTTCACAATTACCAGCTCCCAAATGCCTAAGGAAAAGGGATAGGTCAACTTTATGCTGCAGAATTAGAACCTTCCCTTTCAGATGTGAGGGGAAAAAAGTTGGGGTTGGAAACAAAGTGTGGGTTTCCACATGCATGAAATAAGCATTCCTCTTAGACTTGAGAGGTTTCTTAATACAACATTTGGTAGTGGCTTTAGCTGGTTGAGACCACGAGGTGTCATACCACAGAATTTTTTATTTTATACCCCCACTGACTCTGACTCTGCCTACAATTTTCCAAGGACCAATTTCAACTGCTGGGGCAACTGGACAGGTGTGCCCTAGCCTTAGCCATAGTATGTGCCAGCACCAAACAATGCGTTGTTTGGAACACAACCCTGGAATATCTTTGGACTGTCAGAAGAAAGGCCCGTTCTAAAGAGCACAAGAAATGTCTCACTGGAACTATGTGACTGTCAGGAGCACAGGACACATCTATTTCAGGGCAAAGAGTACTTGTTTCCTGGGTAAAATCCGCTTTAAGAACATGAAAACAGAAAAAACTAGGGCAATGTGAATCCTCCTTGTGTATCACAGCATAGTTCTTTTTTTCTTTTCCACAGTGGTCTCCCCACATCTGCTTGAATGTGTTAGATCCTACCTTTGTAGAACTTACTTTGGAATTCTACAGTTTCCCTTCACTACTACCAACAAATGCACAATCTTATCATAGGTCTTTTGCATAGTCTGTGGGCAGAGGCATTTCCTCCAGATTTGAATCTCCCAAAACAAAAAGAAGGAAGAAGAATGATGGGCAGTCTGCATATAATCTGCAACTGGGCACGCACACATGGATTTATCTGGCAAACTCTCAAGGGAGAACACACATAATAGTTTTGGAAACCTGTTTGCTGAGACTTACTGAACATAAAAGATCCAAAAATGAAACCACTGGTATTTTTAAATAAAATGAAATATTTAAAGCACATGAAAAAAATAGAATAACACAACAAACACCAATATACACATAAACCAGGCTTAATGTGGTTGCCATATTTCCTTCTATTATTTTGAAAAACAGAAGTAAAATACTATACTACATCCAAAAAAACCAAACTCACTGCTGTCGAGTCAGTCCTGACTCATAGTGACCCCTCCTTGGGTTTCCAAGGCAGTATCTCTATGGAAGAAGATTGCCCAACCTTTCTTCTGAGGAGTGCCTGATGGGTTTGAACCACCAGCCTCTGGGTAGCAGTCAAATGCCTTAGGCACTATGCTACCAGAGCTCTTTTTTTAAAAAAAGAACTATAATATTGTACTTACTATATTTGTAGTCCTTTTATGCTTCACATGTTGACATCCACTCACTTTGCCTCCCCAGAGGCAAACACTGTCCAGAAATTGGTGTGTTTCTTTTCCATCCATATTTTTTAATATTTTTATGATGTAGCCATTTATCCATAAACAAAATATAGTATTGTTTTGCAGCATAATTAAAATATATGTACACATATGCATGTGTGTGTTTGTGTGTGTGTTCATGTAGACCTTAAAAAAATCAGTTTTCTTTTTACAATAAAAAAAATTAAAAGATATCAAAATGTACTGAATTTATCAATAATGCTGGGCCTGATTAGGCAACTTGGAATCAGATTTTCAAAGCAATGTAAAAGCTTTAATGGAGAAGTCATATTTCAATAAGAACAACTTCTTGCATTGTCTTTCTTATCTGATAAAATCACTGATCAAAAAAACTTCCATGAGCATAATAAATTTTATTTGGGTTCACTGTACCAGTCAGTCAGTCTAGTAGGTTGGTCATGTAAACCTTCATCTGCAGTTGACTTTTGAGCACAGTGGTCATTTACCTGACAAAATCAGGAGTTCAATGATCTCTGCATCTCCCAGAAACGCAGCCACATGAAGGGGGGTTCGCTTCTCAGAATCCTGAAACAAACAACATCAAAGATGCATATGTCAGTGTTGGCTGGAGGTACTTTTAGTAGACATAGTAAGACATGTCACTCACTCTTAGATTAATGTTTGTGGAAGAGAGTGAAAGGCCAAATACCTACTAGAGTAAGTTCTGGTTATACATTTTCTTCTAGCATACCCAATCAGTCACATGTCTGAAACATTCCATTATTTGGCTGCTAACCAGAAAGTCAGCAGTTCAAAACCACCAGCTGCTCCACAAAAAAAAAAAGAAGAAGAAGAGGCAGTCTGCTTCCATAAAGATTTACAGCCTTGGAAATCCAGCGGGAGTCACTGTGAGTCAGAACTGACTCAATGGCAGTGAGTTTGGTTTGGTTTTACACATGGTATAGGAGCCTGCTGGTGCAGTGTTTAAAGTACTCAGCTGCGAACCAGAAGTTCAGTAGTTCAAACCCACTAGATGTTCCACATGAGAAAAATGTGGCAGTCAGCTTCTGTAAAGATTTACAGCCTTGGACCCTATATGGCAGTTCTACTCTATCTTACAAGGTCATTATGAGTCAGAATCAACTAGATGGCAGTGGGTTTGGGTTTTTTGGTTTAAACATGGTATTTTTCTCTTTGTTCCCTTTACTAAAGCCTTGTTAAGTTCAAGGATAGACCACTGCCCACTGGATGATGAATTTCAATTTCTTTTCAAATCTTCTGTATAATAAAAAACACAAAACAAAACAAAAAAATCCTTTACCTACTTTAAGGAGCTCTGGTGGTGGAGTGGGTAAGGCATTTGGCTGCTAATCAGAAGGTCAGCAGTTCAAACCCATCAGCTGCTCCTCAGGAGGAAGATGAGGCAATCTCCTTGTGTAAAGATTTACAGACTTGGAAACCCAGGGGGGGTTGCGATGAGTCAGAATCGACTTGATGGCAGTGTTTTTTTCTAAGGCGCTCTGGTGACATAGCAGTAAGGTATTTGGCTGCTAACCAGAAGGTTGACAGTTCAAACCCACCAGCTGATCCATGAGAGGAATATGGGGCAATCTACTTCCATAAAGACATACAACCTTAGAAACCCAACGGGGGTCATGGTGAGTTGAAACTGACTCAATGCTAGTGGGGTTTTTTGGGTTTACCCACATTAGCAACAAAGTTCAAAGCATTCAATCAGTTATTTTTCTTTCTAAGGAAACAGACTGGAAATTGTTCACAAGGACAACAAACCTAAGTAAAATAGTTTTCTCCTTTCCATTCCTATTACCTCTGCCTAGACCATTCCTTAGGAGTCTTGGGTGGTACAGACAGTGAACTCTCTCAGCTGCTAACAGTCCACCCAAAGGCATCTCAGAATAAAGGCTGCAATCTACTTTCAAAATATTAACCACTGAAAACCCTGTGGAGCACAGTTTTACTCTGACACACATGGGGTTACCATGAGTCAGAGTCAATGTGAAGATAACTGTAACTGGTAGACAACTTCTCATTTACATAATAACTATTGAATGTTACTATGTGCCAGGAACCAGATTCTGGGGACAGAGAGTGAATCAGGACAGGCCTGGCTCTGCTCTCATGAAGCTTACATTTAAGTAGTAACAGTACATGACTACAACACTAATCATGTAAACAAATAAACACATGAGGTCATACCAAATGGGGATAAAGACTATACAAAATTAAAACAGGGCGATAAAAACAAGTGACTGAAGTGTTGGGAGTTAGATTCATTCAAGTGGTTGGTAAGGCCTGTCTGAGGATGTTGACATGTAAAGTGAGAGCTGAAGTAGCTATTGTTGTTGTTGTTGTTGTTATGTGCCATCGAGTCGGCCCCGACTCATAGCAACCCCTCCTTGGGTTTCCGAGGCAGTATCACTACGGAAGTAGGA